GGTAATATGCAGCTGGGAGACCTCCGTGTAACAAGCAACGAACGAGTCTAATAAATTTAATGTTCACACCAGCAACACCCCTGTGCATATAAATAAAGCCAGTCCGGTACAGATAATACATGGCTTAAATAATGCCGGCGCTGATGGGAAACAAAGGACAGTGAGGAGGATAAAGGGTGTGTGTGTGGAGGGTTTGAAGTCCAGTAGGAGGGGCTTCAGGTAGGAATGGAAAAGTAGGATTGGAATTGGGGTGGTGCTTCTGTTTGCTTGTTGTGGTTTCTCTTTTTCTTACAAGGCCCCTATGTTTAAAAGCAGCTGCACAGCAGACAGAAATTCAACAGGTGCAGCTTTTCCTTGCATGGTGATGCAGTGATGCAACTCTCTCCACTTCCTTGGGAGAAGTGACTGGGAGATTGGTGCTATGCTGTTTTGGAGTACTGTAATGGTCTTGGGAGGACTCTTAAGCTTCCAGCCACTTCTTCTTGCCCACTAGTTATCCACACCGCCTCTCAGAGGGCCCAGGACTCCATTGCAAACTGCTATTCCAGCACTGGGGCGGGGGGGGGGGTGGAGGCTGGAAGATTGGCAGCTGCGTCCTCTGTTTACTTTGTCCATCTGCCTCATCTGTCTGTTCTGCATTCCTCTCTGCAGGGTTGAGATGCCAACTGCAGCCACCCCCTCAGCGCTGCAAGAAATGCTCATATTGTTCTCTTGTTAGGCCCACTTGCGGGTAGAAAAATGCCACCCAGATGGGCACGGCTGGTGTGCAGTGGGGAGGGCATGAACGGAAAAGCCAAGAGGTCCTCTTTGCTAGAACAAGGGGCACCATCTCTCCCTGGCAGAATAATAAAAAAACTTTGCTCATGTTAGTTTAAGTGAATGCAAATGAAAATAGTCCATGACCCAGGGTTCAATCCTATTAAAATGAAAGTATACTCTGATCAAAGCAACCACTCTACAGTGCCACAAATCCAACTCAATGCTGCAACGTTGGAAAGTGTCAACGACTTCTACCTGGGCAGTTATCTTTCCACAAGGCCAGACATTGATGCCGAAATCCAGCATTGCCTGAGCTCTGCGAGTGCAGCCTTCTCCCAATTGAAGTGCAGAGTGTTTGAAGATCGGGACATCTGCAGGGAAACCAAAATGCTTGTTTACAAAGCTATTGTACTACCAACCTTACTGTATGCTTGTAGAACATAAAGGTAAAGGGACCCCTGACCATTAGGTCCAGTTGTGGCCGACTCTGGGGTTGCAGCGCTCATCTCACTTTACTGGCCGAGGGAGCCGGCGTACAGCTTCCGGGTCATGTGGCCAGCATGACTAAGCCGCTTCTGGCGAACCAGAGCAGCGCACGGAAACACCGTTTACCTTCCCGCCGCAGTGGTACCTATTTATCTACTTGCACTTTGACGTGCTTTCGAACTGCTAGGTTGGTAGGAGCAGGGACCGAGCAACGGGAGCTCACCCCGTCACAGGGATTCGAACCACCGACCTTCTGACCGGCAAGTCCTAGGCTCTGTGGTTTAACCCACAGCGCATGGACCACTTATAAATGCCACCTCCAACTCCTCGAAACATTCCACCAACAGTGTCTCTGAAAATTTTTACACATCACTTGGGAAGAAAGGTGAACTAATATCAGTGTACTGGAAGAAGCAAAGACCACCAGTGTTGAAGCAATGATTCTTCAACATCAACTTTGTTGGACTGGTCATGTTGTTCGGATGCCTGATTACCGCCTTCCAAAGCAACTACTCTATTCCAAACTTTAAAATGGAAAGCAGAATGCTGGTGGTCAACAAAAGAGGTTTCAAGACTCTCTCAAGGCAAATGTAGTATAAACATCAACAATTGGGAAACACTGGCATGCAAGCGCTCCAGTTGGAGAATAGCCTTTGGACGCTCAAACTCAGGATGAAAGGGAGAAATGTGCTAAGAGGGAGGTACGTTTGGCAAACCCTCACCATGATCAACTCCCATCCGGAAACCTATGTCCTCACTGTGGAAGGACATGTAGATTCACTTACAGATTCACTGTTAAGACCGTGTTCGTAGAAGACAATCTTTCTCGGCTTCGAGTGACCGCCAAAGAATAATACTCTGATCAGATTGGTTTAAAATTCGATCTGATGGTAACAGGAAATATAGTTATTCCCCACCCCCACTGCTGAGGGGTGATGGAAAAAGCAGTCTGCCTATTAAAACAGAAATAGCATTTTTGTTAATCTCTCCAGGTTGGCTTTCAGAAGGTGCAAGTGAGGGCTCCCCCCCCCATAACAAAATGTTGCAGCATGTCACCAGCTCACAACTTTGAGCATGTGCAGCTTCCTGGCAACATCCAAGGCCCCAATTACAAGTTGGCTGAGACAAAGTTTTGCAGACTTAAGCACTGTTTCCTTAGAATTTCCTAGAATTATTGGTTCCACTGAGAGGTGCCCAACCTTCCCAGCATTCCCTGCTCTGTGTGAGTAGGCCGCAACCTCCCTCCCAAAGACCCTGCTTCCCAAGAGCAGACAGTGAGGGAGGCGTGAGGTTTAAGAACCATACTTCTTTATTTAATAAACAGAATAGTATTAAATCTGTATTAACAAAATATACAACCAAAAATATTCTATAACAATATACATCTTCTGCTTTGTAGATAAATATTTTCTCTGTCTTGGCTCTTCCCAGCGGCTTGGCTTTGCAAATTGTTGCCTGTCCTAAACAGCTGAAAAGTGACACACTGGCAAAATAGTATTGGTTTTGGGGGTTCCCCCCTTTTTTGCAACAGTAAGGGGAAAGGGCGGAAGGAGATGAAAGTAGGGCAGTACCCTCTGCTGGCGGTGCCCATGTGACAAAGTAATCATTGTTCATTTGCATAACTGTATACACAAGTCACCCACTACCGAGCACAGATTATTCATCCCCCCCCCCAACGAACAGCAAGGAGAATCTAGATAAAGCAAGGCCCCTAATGCTCCGTGGGTAGTAATACTGCCGCCTACTGAAGGGGGTCATTCTGCCCCCGCTGGTGTGCAAAGTTCGTAAGGAGTATTTGCAAGGCTCCACCTTATGCCTCCTCCTCATAGCAACTGGCTCCACTACCCAATACAGAGGGTGCCCCACATTTAGCAAAGCCCAAGCTCAGAGGAAGGCACGCCTTCAGAACCTCTCATTTTCAGTCATGTTCAGAATATACATTTAAAGAACATTTTAATTACAGAAACAGAGAATTGTTAGAGTTAGAAGACACCCCAGAGGGTCATTTAGTCCAACCCTCTGCAATGCAGGAATGTTTTGCCCAATGTGGGACACGAACCAACGACCCTGAGAGTAAGCTTGACTGACTGAACTATTCCCCCAAAGAATCCTGGGAATTGTAGTTTGCCCACCCACAGGCAGAACTATACTTCCCAGCTCCCTTAACAAATTGAGATCCCAGGATTCTTTGGGGGGATGCCATGGGCTTTAAATGTGTGGGGTGGGTGTGAACTTGCCGTCAGTGCATGGGAAAGCATGGGAAGCTGCCCCCAAAACAGCAAACCAGGCTTTCGCAGGGAAGTAAAGTGCTAGTACAGTTAGAACGTTCAGAGGGGTCATCAAGTACCGCGAATCTCCCGTGGCTAACAGTTTGTCAGCCATTTCTCCCCAGACTTCTAAGAAGTCAGCATAAATTCCTCCCCACTCACTACGGAGGGAAAGATTATTATTCTAGCCAGCCAGCCCCACAGCTTTTAAGTATGAAAGGGAGTAAAAGACCAGTGATTTGTTTTATTTTTTAAAGGGAAATTTGGATGATGTTGACATTGCAGGTTTGCATCTGCAAGATCCTCTAGAAAAATCCACTTAGCTGAATCATGGCTCTTGCTGGGCAAACTTGGAACGTCTGCTGGAACACAGACAGGCCAGCTGGCATTGGAAGGTTAAAGGTATTTTTTTTTTAAAGAAGAGAGGTGCAAAATAAGCTAGTTTATTTATATGGCGAGTAATTCCACTGGCACTGGAAACTGCATCCAACCATGCGATTGTTTTTAGTTGCCCCACTGTAGCTATTTGGCCGGCTGATGCCATCTAATCGGTGGTGGTGGCCTGTGGTATATCTTATTGCCAGTTGGATACAAGTGCCCCGATTTCAGATGAATCATTTTGTTAGGTACTTGGGGCCCTGACTGACAGGACCGGCTGATCTGAGGGTGTAACTTGGAACCCGCAGTTGTTCCAAGCAGACTATTAAAATGCAAGGAAATATCTTGTCACCACATTAGTCACATTAGTGCTCGAATTGGTCTATCCTTAGAACTCAGATGGACAGCTCAGCGTGTCAGTCTCGCTGATGGAGAAATGCCATGAAACCTCCCTCCATTGCTGGAGACAGGATGCCTCTGAATACCACGTCCTCAAGCAGGGAGAGTAGTGGTACTTGCACGCTTTCCACAGGCATCTGGCTGGTCGCCGGGAAAACAAAACATTGGGCAACAGGGGCCTTTGGCCTGATCCAGCAGAGCTCTTCCAGTGTTCTTAGGAACCCAACTCATGTGTTGCAATAGGAACAGAGTTGCACTGCTGGCCCAGCTCCCAGCATTGTATCCTGCACAGAAGTCTGTAAAACAGGGGCAGCTGACCTTTTTCTGGCTGAGGGCCACATTGCCCAAAGGCCAGCACTCCGGGGCCACATGTCAAGGTGGGCATGCCCAAAGGGCAAAAGTGGGGTGTAGCAGAACCCCAAACTTCTTGCCATTATTAATTACCTTTTATTCCTTTCCACCCCTTCCTTCTTATCAACTTACTCTTACCAACTTACTTTCTTACTCCCTTCCACCGCCAGCATCCCATATTCCTTATTCTCTCTTTCTCTCCCCTTCCTTCCTAATACAGTGGACACTCGGGTTGCGAACGTGATCCGTGCGGGATGCATGCTCGCAACCCACAGCGCTCGCAACCCGCTTCTGCGCATGTGCAGGTTGCAATTCAGCGCTTCTGCGCATGCACAGCTGCCAAAACCCGGAAGTAACCCATTCCGGTACTTCCGGGTTTCGGCGGTCTGCAACCCGAAAAGACGCAACCTTAAGCGGCTGTAACCCGAGGCATGACTGTACATAGGGCTTTCTGCCCTACTGCAATGGACATTCCAATCTCCCTGTCTTTCTCTCTCCCTTTCTCTCACCTGTAAAGCGCATCTCCAGTACAAAGGGACCCCCTGACCCTACCCCTGACATCGTGGCCCCAGGCTAGCCATACGCATGTGATATCCACACATTGAGTGCGGATGCCTGTAAACAAAACTCCTGGGCCCGCCCACAAGATCCGTGCAAGAAGCATGGACCCCTGTGTGTCTTGCATGCTGGTTCCTGTACACTCACAGATCTCCGCACTCAACGCTCCGCTATTGGGACCGGCAGTGTGGCTCTGCTCCTATTACAACACGTGTGAGTATCCTCTGTGTGTACAGAGTGTGAACAGGGATCAAGTATGAGCAATGTAATGGAACCGGAGAACAAATTCCTTTGGCCTGGAGTTAGTTGACAAGCTGCTAAGAGGCCCAGATGCCATTTCAGCCCCGGCCACCTCAAGCCTTGGTCTCATCGACAGCTGCTACTTCTGCCACCAAGGAGTTCTGGCGTTGATAGTCCCTCCACCACCTGTCCAGCTCCTCAGCTTTTCCGGAAGAGTGAGAAGAAGCCAGTGCCGTTGGGGATGCTGGTGCCTCGGCGATAGAAAGGAGGGTTCTTGCCTTCCGCTGGGCTTCTAGGCGACGAAGCGATGGGGTGGGTCTCTTCCTGGTGCTTCTGCAGCAGTTGCTGGTGAATGATATACTGAATATCATCCTGTGCGGCAGGAAAGAAAAGAGGATGTAAGCACAACAGCGCTCCTAAATTGTGAATTTGTCTATTCCTCTTTTAAAGCCATCCAAATTGGTGGCCTTCCTTACATCATTCCACAGTTTCGCTAGGTGCTGTGTGAAGAAATGCTTCCATTTTTCCTGCCCTGAATCTCCCACTGTGCAGCCTCATCAAGTTCTAACATTATGAGAGAGGAAGAAAAACACCTCTCCTTTCTTCTAAGCTTAAAGAGCCCCATACATTTTAACTTTTCCTCATAGAGGCAGTGGCTTCAGCCCCTCGGTTGCCCTTTTCCGGCTCTACAATATCCTTTTCGAGGCGAGGTGATCAGGTTTGTGAGCCTGATGGCAGTAGAGGCTCTTCCCCTCTTTTAATTGATGTGAGCTGCTTTGGGAGACAATTGTTGTCTGAAAAAATGGGGCAAAGACCCCATAAACAAATAAACAAATAAATACATTTTTGTGTTTGCTACCCTCTTCTTCTTATTCGTCATCTCCCAGCTGCTGCTGCTGCTGCTACTTCTCCTCCTCTTCTTACCCTGTCATGGTCTTTTCCCCTTCCTTTCTTTTCGGTCCCTGTTCAGAACTGGAATGAATCCATAAAGCAAACTTGGAACAAATTGTGAATGCAAGGGGAGAATCAGAAATTCTCACGCTCATCCCATTTGTGTCACTGCGCAGATCTGGAATTTATTAAGCACGGCAGGAGCCAAAAAGCTGTTGTCTGACTTGCAGTTTGGGATTTAAAAAATGTTGCGTTTGCTACTATGAAGTTCCCTGGGCCCTTTTGGCTGCTTCCTTCGGCTTCCAGCATATAAACTGGAAGGGCAATTGGTGCAGTTTAAAATGTTCTGGGTTAAATTTCATATATATATTCTGGTGTTTTTTCTTACTCACTTGCCAAGCTTCCAGCTCCTGGGAAAGGGCCATCTTCTGGCGAATGACACGCAATAGCTGCTGGCTCATGGAATCCCGTTCCAGGGACACTTTTGCCAGTTCCAACTCCATCTCGCCTTTCCTAATAAGACAGCAGATAGAGACATACACAAAAAGATAAATAAGGCTGCAAGCCTGACCACGTCTACTCAGTGAATTCACTGGGTGCTTTCAGATGGCCTGTTTACTGATCATTCATTCTGATTTGGTTTGGGGGAGGTTAGATGATGTTGCATCACAGCAAGTGTTATCCCACAATTTCCAGCTCATTTTCCCTTTGCTTACCCTATTGCAAAAGCCCTGACATTTTCGGGAAGTGAGCTTGTTGTGCAAGCCCTTCCAATCACCTTGGAATTTCCCGGTTAAGTGATTGAATCCCACCCCAAAATAGTGGCAGTCTGGAAATGCCCTTACTCCCAGGTAAGTGGGGTTAGGATCACAGCCTCGTACATTACAAGGTCCTCCAGGTTGTCACTGTTCCATGGGAGGGATTCAAGCACTTACCATACATCTGCCTAGCTAAAGTGGGTTAAAGGACCTCACCACCCCCAGCACAAGCAATCCAGTCTAAAATAAGAATTAAACTTTTTGCTGTTTGGAAAGTGACAGAGAAATGCACTGAGAAGTGTGGGAATGATCAACTAACAGGATGTAAACATCCCACAAGCAAATCAGAAAGCAGGTTCATTGTCGAATAACCACCCCATAAACAAATCAGGATAAATGCTCATAAAGGACTGGATATACCAGGGGTCTGCAACCCGCGGCTCCGGAGCCGCATGTGGCTCTTTTACACCTTTGCTGCGGCTCCGGGGCGAATACTAGCGAGGGGAGGAGGCGCATTGTGCGCCCCGACACTCCCCACTGTGGCGGGCGCTGTACTGGCTGTGACACCGCCTGGGGGCGGTGTGTGCGTTAGTCACGCACCGTCCCGACGTCACCTTCCCGCCCGCCCGCTACATTGTAAGGGGCATGTACGCTGGTCACTGCATTGAAAGGGGGCATGTACGCTGGTCACTGTTTTGAAGGGGAGTGAAGAACACACACACAAAAAAAGGTAACTTGTTAATTTAACGTTTATTTCTATGAGGAGGAGTAATTCTGAGGGGTCAAACAAAGACATAATAAAAAAGTGACAAAAAAAGTTATTTTTATAATGACGAGTTTTGCGGCTCCCAGTTTTTTTTCCTTCGGAAATGGGTCCAAGTGGCTCTTTTTGTCTTAAAGGTTGCAGACCCCTGGGATATACTATCGAACCTCTGTGCAAGCTTTGTGCAAACAAATCAGGATGAAGGCTCAGTAATTAAGGAACAGTTTTACATGCAGTTCCCAGTTCAGCCTGAAGATGTCACAATTCCATGGTTTAAAAACTTCCCCCTTCCCTGTTGCCTGCAGAGGGGGTGGGGGTAATCCATGGAGCCCTTCATCAATGGCTGCCGGACTGGACTTTCCTGTCTGCCGCCATTTAGGATCACCCCTTTAAACTGGGCAGCTGTAAAGGAGTGTTCTTAGTGCTCCAAGGCAGATTCTCAAATTACACAAGGAATGGAGGGACCCTGCATAAACGGAATGAGTGTTCTAGGAGGTTCCCAGAATCCTCTCTGGCTCACAGGGGTTACAATAGCAGACAGAGAGGGTTTTCCTCTCAAGAAAGGGTTTCCTGGAGCTAGAACATTCGCTTTAAAACACTGCAGAAGAGAAAGGCATACAGCTGTGAACCGATTAAGATCATTTGAGTTAATTCCCTGCCTTTAAGGTTACTCATTAACCTGCGGGAGTAAACACTGCAGCCTCTCAAACAACAGCAGGTATTTTGAGGATATTTAACGAAGGCGGCAGGTTTACTCCAGGACCGAAACTGCTGCTTTTTGAGCATTCGCTCTGATTTGTTTGCAAGGAGGTTATGCGATGTTGTGTTATTATCCCACACTTTCGAGTGCAATTTCCCATCACTTCCTTTATCACAAAAAAAATCCAAATTTATAGCGAAGCAGGTTTTCCGTGCAAGAGCACCAAATCAATAGCACCAGTCCGGAAACGCCCTGAATTACACTGCCCAAAAAACAGGTGGCAGTGCTTGAAAGACTGAGCATCTGCCTTGTGTGCAGAAGGCAATATCTAATTCCTCTAGACAGAGGGCTTCTGACAGTCATAGCAGACCAAGGTTTCCCAAATTTCATCCCTATCCTATCATCCCTGACCACTGGTCCTGCTAACTAGGGATGATGGGAGCTGTAGTCCAAAAACAACTGGAGACCCTGAAGTAGATGATACTGAACTAGATGAGCCTGTGGTCTGACTCAATAGAAAACAGCTTCCTATGCTACTTTGAATTATAGGGTAACTTGTCCGGTTTTCTTATATTTTGTGACCATCCCTTTAAAGGTTTTTAGAAGAGAACTGAGTGTTTGGGAGAGACAATTTGACAGAAACTGGAGAGCCTCAGGTACTTTCTGCCTCCCCCTCACTTCACCACCCCCATAATTTGATCATTGATGAAGGAAGAAGCCATTATGAATAAGATGTTCTGTGGCTGGTACTGTGGTTCAAAAAAGCAGCAGAGATAAATATATATCTTACATATAATAAAAAGGTAAGGCTGTCGTCACATGGCAGTTCACGTGTCTGCCAACAGGTAGCACTGCGATCTGATGACAGATTTCTGAGAGTTGCTGGGCCTGTGATGGAGGGAGATGGAAGCAAGCAGGCAGAAACGGAGGGAGGTGGTTTTGGCAAGATTTAAGAGATGGAGGAGATTGGCAAGTGGGGCAGGATGAGGGACAAAGTGAGCAGGGGCACAGCGCCTAGAGGCATGTATATGTGTGTGTCCATATATACATTTATACACACACGGAGAGAGAATAAATATGCAACCAACTCACTTTATTATAGCCTCATCTCGATCTACTATGGCTAATTTCAGTGCTTCGTCCCGGTTGCTCTCTTGATACAGGCGCCTCTGGCTCTCGATCTCAGTCTTTAAATTGCAGAGTTCTACATACTGTAGTGTAATCTGAAAATGGGAAAAGAAATTTAAAAAATGCTTTTTAGAAGGAAAATCATGCCACTCCACAATGTAGCATCCTCAGGTGGGGAAAGCACAGCACACACTACCTGATCCTGAAGTTTCATGATCTCTGCTTCTTTCTGCCTCAGCAGATCCTGTTCCTGGTGACTCAGGGCTGACACCCGTTTGGCATAGTCAATTTCTTCCTCTTCCAGTCTCTTTGAGGGCTTTTTTGCCACTGTGGGGGTATGACAGGAGCCATTGCAGGTGCCATTGGCCATCAGCTAAAGCAAAGAAATCCAAACACATACCCATAAACCAACGAGATCTCAATGACACTAAGATGCAGCTGACTCTAAGGTGAGTCACAGCAGTTGCTTATACAGGACAGTAAGTCTTCAAATGCCCAGAACATATTTTCATGGGAATGTTTTTGAAGTGCATTGTGCAGCACAGTTCTATACACGTCTATTCATTGAATTCAATCTCACTGAATTCAACAGGACTTACTCCCAGGTAAGTGGGCATAGGTTTGTACCCTTAAATCACTGGTGAACTGATTCATGAACACAACGCTTTTACACATTTAAAAATCCTTCTTCTTTTTTTAGGTTTTTTGAATTTTTAAAAAATCCTTCTTCTTGTTTAGGTTTTTTGAATTTTTCCAGCCATGAGATAAACTTTACATATTGCTTGTATTCTTGTGTCACAGTGAGGAATGTCAGAGAATTCTGGCAGAAATGGGAGCAGAAATTGCCAATGTTTGCTCATTCATCCCATGTCCACAACAGAAATGAATTCAGTGAAGACCATTGGCTGTTGTTTTCAATCCACAAACTATAGGCAATTGAAAACACTTTCCCCCATGTGCTGCATTTCCTTTGCCCTGAAAGGAATGGTGTGGAATAACATAACAATAATGTAATCCATTATGCAAAATCCTGCCATAGCCAACAGCAAGATGAATAACCTGGGTTTTGTTGGAAGTTGAACTGGAGAGAAAAAGAAACAGTGCTTACATCCCTACTTGTGGTAAGACATAAAGGTGTTCTATAAATGTACTCCTCTCCAGCAGTGAGTGGGAGCAGCAAGCCATAATTATTGGCTTACCTCTATGTCCAAACCAGGGCGGGGGGGGCGGGTTTCATGGTTTGTTTTGCTTGAAACAAACCACAGTCTGAAGCCAAAGTTTGTTCTTGGCTCAACAAACCACAACCCCTACAGGTTGGACATAAAGCTAAGCCAAGGATCACTGGTTAGAAGGGAGCTGTGAAGTGGAAGATTTGTTTAAGAACACAAGAACAGCTCCGCTAGATCAGACCAAAGGCTCATTTAGTCCAAAATCCTGAGCTCACAGTAGCCATAAGCAGGACTTGAGCACAAGAGCCCTCTCTCTCCCCTCCTGCAGTTCCCAGAAACTAGTATTCAGAGGGAGAGGGCTATATCCAGTTCTAGTCCTACTAGAACACAAGTTAAGGAACATGGCTAACTTAGAGTCATCGGTTTTAATGGGTCTACTTTGAGGAGAACCAGCATTAGCTACAACTCTTGTTTTTTTAAAAAAATATTGCGCAATGTAATTCTGTACATGTTCCACTGAGCCCATAAACCGTGTATTATCATGCTACGAAAACACAGCCTTCCCCCCACTTATAAATCTAACAGCATCCTCAAGTAAGCATTTTGGAGTGGAGGGGGAGGATATAATTTGCACTTAAATGTGAATTCCTCCTCCCACCCACTTAAAAAACAACAACTCTGCTACGTTCTGGATTGCAAGCATTATTCCCCCCCCCCCCGCAACTTAGTACAAAAAAGAAAAAGAAAAATGTAGTATGCTTCAGCCTTTCCAAACAGGCATGTTTTTGAATTTGCGCTGTATTAGAAAGACTGGTGGAGAATCAGGTATGCCCAGCAGTGTACATTTCCCAAATTGGCACATGGACAGCAATCTTCTTTTGGCATTGGAAACTTTGCCCGGGACACAAACAGGTGAACTTAGATGCCCTCCACCACCACTTCCTTCCTCCCCTACCTTAGGGGCCTTCCCGGGTGCTCCAGGAGCATCCTCCAAGCTACTTTCGATCTCAGACTGGATGGAGGTGACGGAAGTGTCCAAATCGTGCAGGCGGATCTCCTCCTTCATCTCCTTGACCTGATGCTGGAGGCGACGGTTGGAGGCCCGGAGCTCCTCAGCTTCCACTTCAACCTGCTGCATCTTGGGAGGAGAAACAGGAAGTGGGTACGGAGGAGCACGAAAACAACGTGCTTCTGTGAGGGGCGCCTACCAATGAGTCCTCCCCTTCCTCATTCTCTGCATTAACCACAAAAACGCCTTCCTCATTCTCTTACACACAAGCCACGTGTCCCTCATCTTTATTTTCAGTTGACTGTCCCCAAGGGTGAGGAAATTTCCCCAGCCAGAGAGCCGCTTTTCCTTTTTAGGCAATCTCCTGAGGGCCACAGGCCAGTGGAGGACGAGGGGCCTGGAGCAAAAGTCGGTGGGGCAATGAATGTCCACGTCAACCTTTGTGCACTAGGATTTTTTCGGCTCACACTCACACATCTCTCTCTAGCCTCCATCCAGACAAGCGAGAGGCATTACCAGGGCAAGCAAAGGGTAGAAAACCATCAGGGTGTGGTTTGAGGAGAATTCCAGGGTTCACCCTTGCCCATGCCTCCCATTTTCACCCTTGAGCCTCTTTCAGCCCCTTGCTTAGTAATTACCCGCAGCTCCTTCTCTCGGCTCTCGTTACGGAGGAGGAGGAGGTTGTTGTGCAGTGTGTCTACCAGCGCCTGGATCGATTCGTTCTCCTCCCGCAGCTGATGGGTCTGCTTCTCCAGATCTCGCTTCCGCTCTTGTAACATAAGGTTCTAGGGGAAAGGAATGTGCATGAAAGCAAATAAAATGGTTGGAGCTACGCCCCAGATCTTCATTCCCAGATCCACCAAGTGGTTGTGGTTCAGAGCTAGCACCTCCCAGGGGGTTCCCGTGTCCTATTCTGTTGGGCCAGGTAAGCAGGGCATTTTCCTGCCAAAGAAGGGATATAAAAATAAAAGATTTGTGGAGCTGGAAGGGACCACAAGGGTCATCTAGTCTAGCCCCCTGCAATGAGGGAATATTTCACCCAACGTGGGGCTCGAACCCACAGCTCTGGGATTAAGAGTTTCATGTTTTACCGACTGAGCTATCTATCCATCCCACTCCCTATCCTTAGAAAAAAACACATAATAATAACAGCAAATCATATAAATGCCACCCTTTAATGGCACACAAAATGGCCCACATCTCAAGGCAGCCATTTTGCTATCCTAATGGCAGGGTGAGGTTGGGTGGCAGCATGTAACTCCACAGCAAGGGGTTGCCTCCAACATTAATGGTACGCTGAGCAAATCCATTGAAACACATGGAGGTAACTGCCCATTAGTTTCAATGGGTCAATTTAGTTGGATGCCACCCGCTTTCTGTGAGTGTATGCAGAACGTCCTTTTGCTCAGGTGACCCAAGTAGCCACAAGCAGCCACAGCTAGCCACCTGCACAACTAGGACTCAGGTGTGGGAAATCGAGGAGGGCTTCTGTGAACAACAAGGCCCAGCATCACTTCAAAAACTAAGGACTGGGATTTTGGCCACCATTGTCTTATTCCATGGTAAAGCCACAAGTCTCAGCTTCAGAGACAGCTTCTTGAAGAGGGCTAGAGGGGGAAACGTAGTATTTCCCTGTTCCCCAGTGCCTTCCTTGCCCCATCTGCCAGTTTGAAGATCTCCTGTCTTACCTCTGCCTGCAGGCTTTGTGCCTGGGCCGCGTGTTCAGCGCTGCTAAGGGACAAGGTCCGATGTTCCCCGCGTAACAAGGCCAGTTCTTCCTGCAGCCGCTGCTCCAGGTGTGTGATCTGTGGAGTGGATGACAGGTGTTAGGTTTTGGTTTGGCAAAAAATTGACACTTCAACCTGTTTTTCGGCACTAGACCTCAGTCCTCGGTTGTGATGAAGTAGAATCTGCATCTGAGCCTATGTATGGCGCACATTCACCTTCACCACCAAATATTCAGTCTGAGTGGTATGTATACAGTGACATGAGAGAAGAGAATGCCACTGAACATATGCAGAGTGCCTTCCCTTCGGGCTAAGAGCTCTTTTCCCTCTGGTATGAAGTTTGCAGCAAAGCCCCACACCTCTGTGACCTGTGCACTATATTCTCTTCTGCCCAGGTTCCCCTAAGCATGCTGAGGATGAGAGACCTGAAGTTTAAAGGAAAACACATCCTTGAAGTTGTAGAAATGTATTTTATTATAATGAAGTTTTCTAGTATTTTGCAAGCTGCCTTAGATACCAACAATGGCAAAAACCATACCCCACAAGTGTCCTGGGGAAAACTGAGACATCCCTTTTTTTATTGCGCACTGCTCCAAAATGCATGATTTTGGGTGCAGTGCCCCCCAAAAGCGCTTTTTAAAAGGGGAAACTGTGGCCCAAAATCACGCGAGATCACAGCAACCAAAATGGCAGCTGTGCTCTCATGATAAAAAACGGAAGATGGTGTCCAGGAAGATGGAGTCAGGGATTTGGGCTTCAAAGTGTGGGAGGGTATGAGAAACGTAGAATATATCTTTAAAAACAAAGAAGAGCTACCAGATTTGATGATGATGTTTCCTGGGAGTCAGTTTCCAGAACAATGTAGGCTGCTTTCCTAACCCTACACACCTGGGAATAAGCCTCGGTTGCATTCAATTGGACTAACTTCTGATCAGACATAGTTAGTATTGTGCTGTTACTTGTCTGTTTCACACAACAGGAAATAGAACGCCAGAAGCTACCTTACGCTGAGTCAGACCAGTGGTCAATCCAGATTAGTCCTGTCTGCATCAGACATTAGGCTGGTGTGAAAGAGTTTAGTTGGTCCCTGAGGTACCCTGGACCCAAGTTGTTCAGGGTTTTGTAAATTAATACAACTTGGCTCAATAGTAAATTAACTGGGGGTTGGGGTGTGGTGTTTTGATGCCAATTAAGCCATGTGGACCATAGGGGGGAAATAGCATACCTGCATACCTGAGGAACAGACACCCCACCACAAACACCTGTCTGTAGGTGCCCTAACTGGTTCTGCAAGTTCCAGGAACCATCAAAGTCAAGAGAGTGACCAATCCAGAGCCCATAAGGGAACATCCTTTTAGGGGACTGTACCAGTTTAAAAAGTCTAAACTGGATTCATTATTATGCACGTATCCGACTTTTGCAGCAAATGGAACACTTCGTAAGGTTTGTCTAATTTATTTGACCTCATTAGCAGCTCCTCCCCGCAGTTAGTTTCCTACATTCCTGGAAACCTGCCAGTCTGGGTGATGATGCTATGGCACTGTGATCTCAGCCCACATGGCTTGTTTGACTCAATGAATTCCTTGTTCTATTTTCGGAGTTCAAGCATGGCGTGCACCTATGTCCCTCCTTCTGTGGCGCTGGTGAGCTAGTATTTGCATGGAAGCAGGAAGCTGCCTTATATTCTCACCCCCTCCGAAACAATAACAAAAGAACCCCTCTCTGCTCACAGAACATCAGCAATAGCAGGAAGCATACAACGCTAAGACAGACCACTTCTTCCTCGCAGACTAGATCTCTGCAGGAAGGGAGTCATCGTTTTGCAGAAGTGCCCAATCTGCACCACACACAAACACCTGCCTGCATGCTGAGATTGTGCAGCTCCCGGTAAGGCTGTGACACATATTTTTTTCTGAAAGTACACAAGATGGCAATCCAGCCTCCTGTCTGCCCCAGCTTTTCACAGGACCACCACCCCACACACTCAAACATATTCCAGGCCCCCACAAATATTTGGCTTCAATCCCCACTAGTAATTTGCATACAAGACCATGCCCACACAAACTGCAGCCATAAATCTGGACTGGTGATATTGTTCCCAAGCTTTTATCAGTGGCATGTTGGGTGAAGCATTCAATGTAACTGCCAAATTAGCATCTGCTAACCCAGTGCCCTGCAGGTGTCTTGAACTATGACTCCCTTGGAAGTCCTGTTCCAAATATCCAGAAGGCACCAGGTTGGCTAAGGTATGCTGTGCGTGTCAGACCCTCCAAGTGTCCCTATTTTCCAGGGGCAGCCCCTGGATTTAAAGAAGCCGCCCCAGTTTCTGATTTGATCCCGGAATGTCTTGCTTTTCCTTAAAGGTAAAGGGACCCCGGACCGTTAGGTCCAGTCGTGGACGACTCTGCGGTTGCAGTGGTCATCTCGCTTTACTGGCTGAGGGAGCCGGCTTACAGCTTCTGGGTCATGTGGCCAGCATGACTAAGCCGCTTCTGGCGAACCAGAGCAGCGCACGGAAACGCTGTTTACCTTCCCGCCGGAGCGGTACCTATTTATCTACTTGCACTTTGATGTGCTTTCGAACTGCTAGGTTGGCAGGAGCTGGGACCAAGCAACGGGAGCTCACCCCGTCGCGGGAAGGACATCCCTATTTTCTTTGGATTAATGTTGGAGGGTATGGAGTTATGCGACCCCCAGGCCAAGGAGATAAGTAACTAGAAAACCTTTAGAAGACACCTGAAAGCAGCCCTGTATAAGGAAGATTTTTTCCTAATGTTTAATTATGTTTTTATATATGTTGGAAGCCACCCAGAGTGACTGGGGCAACACAGAAGCAGGAGGAGGAGGAGTTTGGATTTGATATCCCGCTTTATCACTAACCGAAGGAGTCTCAAAGTGGCTAACAATCTCCTTTCCCTTCCTCCCCCCAAAACAAACACTCTGTGAGATGAGTGAGGCTGAGAGACTTCAGAGAAGTGTGACTAGCCCAAGGTCACCCAGCAGTTGCATGTGGAGGTCAGGTGGGCGGGGTTTAAATAATAAAATTATTATTATTATTATAGGACATCCCTATTTTCATCAGAGAAATGTTGAAGGGTATGCTATGTGAATTCAACAGACACAGCACTTCCCAGCATGAGGAAGCAGTTGACGAGAGCTACACCTGCGTAATTCCTGCCCGTCACACAAATGCTAAAAAGCACAGGTTTCCCTTAGGTAAGGAAAAGGGGAAGCACCGGCCGACTTCCCAGCCAATCCCTCTTGCCTCTCTTCCCCTCACAGACTTGAGGAATCTGTGAGCTGCGTCTCCTTTCCCCTTACCTGACTGAGCTGCTCCACCAGGCGCTGGTTCTGCTCCGAGAGGTCCAGGACGGCCTGCGAACTCTCCCGGCTAGTGTCCTGCTGCTCCATGCGCTTCTGCCCCAGCTGGGCTCGGACTGTGGCCAGGTCAGTCTCCAGCTCCGCCACGCGAGTCTCAAATTCAGCACTTCTGGATTCAAGGTGCAGGCGGAGTTCGTGCTTCTCTTGCTCCAGTCGCTGGGAGAGGCCAGAGAAAAGAGTCAGGGCCAAATATAACAGGGAGCTGTGAATTCATTATTGAGTGCAAACATTTCTAAAATGCCTTTCATGCAAGGGCCCCAGGGCAGCGTCCAAAAAGCAGGGATAAAATTATTCATATGCAATAAAAACACAGTGGCCACAGCTAAATTGTACATTTAAAGCAGTATCACACCACTTTAAACAGTCACGGCTTCCCCCAAAGGATCCTGGGAACTGTAGTTTGTTAAGGATGCTGAGAGTTTTTTGGGAGAACCCCTGTTCTCCTCACAGAGCTACAATTCCCAGAGTGGTTTCACAACCAATCCTTCTTCAGGTCACATGTAAAATTCAGGTGAATTTTTATTTGAATATTTTTTTTTTAAATGAGAAGAACTGAATTTAAGATTGTGGCAGGGATGAGAAATGGAAAGAACTTGAAACAGACAGGTTCCTCCACCCTTCTTGACTCGATGCCAACTGATGCTATCTTTGGTGAGAAAGCCAAGTTTTGAAAGATACCAGATAAGCCTCACTTCTGCTCTTGTGGTAACCATCAACTGAAAACCTCCCTTGCTCCACCGGTCATGGAAGGAGAGGGGGGAATCTCTCCCAAACAAACTGAAGAACTAAAAATACTGATTTACCTTTACAACATTTTTAATTGCTAGCAGTAACATTGACGTAACTCATAAAGTTCGCTTTATTTCTCCTGGCTTTAGCAATATATTTAACTGAGGCTTTATTTGCTTGCCATCACATTATATAAGTGGTGATATAGAAATTTAGTGCGTTCTACTTTTAGAAGGGTGATTGGCCAATATAAAGCCAATACTTTGGAGTGTCACGAGGTTCTATCTTGTCCCGTATGCTTTTTTTGCATGAAAAGGCTAAGGAAAGTTACCCAGGACTTTAGCTGAAGTCACTATCCAGAGGACACTCAGCTTTACTTTGCTTTTCCTTCTGCTAATCCCAGGAAAGCTCTTGAACTGGTGTCTGGAGGTGGTTTTGGGGTCCCACAGACCCCTTCAGTGCAGGACTTTTTGGAAAGCTCTGAAGATACTTCTTTTTTCTTTGGCCTTCTCACAGAGTGTACTTGTTGGATTGATAGGCATATCTTGTTACTGGGTTTAACATTTTGGGACCGATTGTTGCTTTATCGCTGGTTTTATTTATAAAATACATTGCGCTATACCGTACTCTGTTTTTATCTTGTAAGCCACCTCGAGAGGACTTGGGCCCTTAAAGGTAGTCTAAAGATATCTATATGGGTTTGTAGGTTCAGAACTCCCCTAAATTCCTGGACCCAACAAGTGTTAAAAGCTGAACCGGGCTAGTTTCGCCCTCAGGTAATCACCTGGGAGAGGAGCCATTAAGAAAACAAATGAAAGGCGATGAGCCGTTAAGAAAGCAAAGAGAGGGTGGGGCCCCTCCTTCAACTCTTAAGATAGTTGGAAGGACAAAAGCCAGAGTTTTAAGGGTTGGCTGTGATGTGACCTAGGGGGGAAAGGTTGTAGGTTGGAAAAAGCAGAGAGAGAACATGCTGTTTGATTTCTGCTTGAATCCAAGGCCATGGCTATGGGAGAAACAAGACCCTTTTGGGGTGTTGATGCTGTGGGCCCCTCCATTGTAGGCTCAGGTTGTATATATGCGGAAATAAACCACATATCATAAAAACACCACAGTCTCTGCTGTGCCTCATTCCCAAATGAAACACAAACCCTGGATAAGTGCACAGAACTCCTGGAATGTCGCTCGGAGATTGGGGTGGCCTGCAACAATATTTTAAATTACATAACAGCAACTATATGCTGTATTGTAAGGTAAAGGTAAAGGGACCCCTGACCATTAGGTCCAGTCGTGGCCGACTCTGGGGTTGTGGCGCTCATCTCACTTTATTGGCCGAGGGAGCCAGCGTACAGCTTCCGGGTCATGTGGCCAGCATGACTAAGCCACTTCTGGCAAACCAGAGCAGCACACAGAAATGCCGTTTACCTTCCCGCCAGAGCGGTACCTATTTATCTACTTGCACTTGCTTTCAAACTGCTAGGTTGGCAGGAGCGCTGTATTGTAGCTAATGGCTAAAATATAAATCTGGATTAGAAATTCCAGAAGTAGAAGAAGAAGAAGAAGATATTTGTGATGCATTGTATGCCGTAATGGCTGAACAATAAAATTAAACTGGAAGCCCTGCTTCCATACAAAACCATCTCTCCACCACCAGCCAAGACGTGAGTCACAAACAGTGTCCCTTAGAAGGGACCAACAACTGCATGCAGCCACTACTGGTAGACCATCTAGCTCTGCATTTACCTAGGTGGATATTGATTGAGACAGTGTGCAGGCCCCCTCCAATGATTTCAAGTACCTTTTTGAAACTCCTGGTTCTGGTGGTAACTATTCTGCTCCAGCTTATTTGCTTCTGTAACATCCACATGCAAATAAAATTGTATGCCACCACTCCCACCCCAGAGCTGCCTATTATGAAGGAAAGTATAACTATTATTTCATCTCTTGCATATTGTCTACCTGACGATCCAAATCCTTAATTGCATTTCCCTCAATATCCAAAGGCTATCCATATAAGACATAAGGACGCCTACAGTCATATGCATGAACAGATGACACAGTAAAGTGTTAAGAAAAGAGTGTTGCCTAGGCTCATGGCTTCCTGGAATCCACACCCCTCTGACCTCAAACCTCAGACCCTGATCCTTGATGCAAAAGACTATTAGTCAAGGTAACTAAATGGAGCTTCAGTGTTCAGGTGCAGTCTACCTCTGGGCACCAGGCACTAGGGGAAGGCACCTGCATTTCTTTCTTGAGGGAACCCAGAGACCTCTTGCAGATTGATACTGTAGACAGAACAGTCTGGTCTGATCCAGAAAGCCAAGGCAATTCACATGTTCACAATCCACAAGCCTTGTGCGTAAACTCCCCTCCTGGAGCAAGCCAGTCCTGCTTGAGAAAGTTCCTAGAGAAAGTGCCCCCAGTGACATGTGCCTACACCCGAAAAAGGGAAAGCTTTCCAATGGATTCCTTTCCATTTGGACACACCTTGGATTCCGCTGCGGATATGGATGGCAACTCGTATTCATGACAGGGTCGTGTTAACAAGCTTGGGACAATTTCTGGCTTCGCTTTTCAGCCCAATTTCAACCCTGGGCCTCCACCCTTAAGGCAAAAATAAAAAATAATATATGCAAGTGGCTGGCATCCTTCCACCCAGTTTCTGTAAGCTACACAGAAATATATGGGCCTTGGGAGGGCACAGCTGGTGGGTGAGGTTCTTTGTGGGTGATTCATGCTGGGCGCTTTCTATTCCTCCTCCTCCTCAGTTCCATTTGGTCACTCTCTGTTCTTCCTTCCCTCTAGCTGGCTAATTATACCCACTCTGTCACCACAAACTCCACCTCGCCTCATCAGTGCCCTCCTGCTCTGTGCCAGACTGGTTCGACTAGCTGCCACAAGTATCATGCCCAGAGGTTGCCTGTGCCAACTTCACCCTAGGCCAGGACATTGGGGATTACTTGAGAGGCGAAACGGGTTTAGAGCGAAGTGGATGAAACTGAACTCTGGAATTTCTCAGCAATCCAGAGAACGGAAGGATCTCTGGCAGAGAAGGTCTCAGGCTCAGTCCCTGGCAGGTAGAAATGGGAAGACTGAAACTTTGGAGAGCTGCTGCCAATCAGTGTGTGCAACACAGAGCTACATGGTGCCATGGCCCAACCTGGTACAAGTCCGCTTCCTCTGTCCCTAGGGTTCACATGTTACGAAAGAGCTTCTATGTAATAAACAGCATGCTGTCGCAGGTTCACACAACAGCAGTCCCCACATACATGTAGGATTGTCCCCAAGCTCTAGAGGAGATATGCGAGATTTCCTACACCGGCCAGCAGTGTGCAATGTGTAAAGCAAAGGAGTCAAGAAACCCCAAGTTTGGGTTTTGAAGGATGTTATAACAGCAGCAGTGTTGCTTTGGAAAGAGGACAGGACACCCACAGAAAAAATGAAAGCCTGAACTACTTTGGGCAGAGAGCTGCTGGAGTTCAACAGCTGCCAGCTGTTGCCACCTCAGGTGCCACTACAGTGGTACCTCAGCTTACATACGCTTCAGGTTACAGACTCCGCTAATCCAGAAATATTGCTTCAGGTTAAGAACTTTGCTTCAGGATGAGAACAGAAACCGTGTTCCGGCGGTGCAGCGGCAACAGGAGGCCCCATTAGCTAAAGTGGTGCTTCAGGTTAAGAACAGTTTCAGGTTAAGTACGGACCTCCGGAACGAATTAAGTACTTAACCTGAGGTACCACTATATTGCCCCACCTTCCTTCTAGAGAACTTGCAGCGGCAGAAACAACGGCAATCCAATTTTCTCCTTACAACAACCCTGAAGGTAGGCTAAGTTGAGTAAAAGAGAGGGGCCCAAGGCCACACAGGAAGGTTTCTGACCGAGAAGGGAATCCCCGGCCCAGGCCTGACATTCTCCCCACCAAACCAGACCCTCCGCTGTGCCCCCTTACCTCTTTGGTCTCCATGTGCTCCTTGGCCAGTTCCTCAAAGCGCCTTTCCAGCTCCTCATTGCGCTCCAGGAGCATCTTCCCCAGCTCAGCTGCCAGCAGCAGGTCCTGCTCCTTCCTCTGCAGCAGCACCCCCAAGTCCGCCTCTTCGGGGTCCCCGTCCCCAGCAGCCACATCGCCCCCAAAAGTCTGTTGCCGCTCGCCCCCAAAGGGATAGAACTCGTCCCCCAGGGCAGGTGGGGTCAGAGGGAAAGGGGTCCGGAGGGCGGCCTCCTCCTCAGGGAACATGGAGGGAGCTGTGGTGGTTGCCATGGAGTGGGGAGAAAGAGGAGGGAAAGGGGGGTGGGATCCAGAGGGTTAGAGTGGGGAGAAGTGGGGAGCCAGGATGCCAACCTTCGCTGGCAGGGCTGTGGCTTCGAGGAAGGGGAGAAAGGCAGTCAGCAACCAGGGCACCAGGGCCCAGTTTCTCCCATGAGAGAAGATGCCTTCTGAGGGAGGGGGAGAAGCAGGTAGGTCGTTTCCTCCAGGTATCCAGGTATGAAGAGGCAACCTGAACTGCTCCTGAGGGAAGGGAAGAAGCAACAAGCTTGCCCTGGGTTCTCCACTTCTTCTTCTTCTCCTCCTCCTTCCTTCGACTCCCGGTTGGGTTTCGCTGTTTATTTCCCGATTCCTGCCTCCACCCTCCCAGAGGTTGTGACAGGTGAGGTTTTCCACTCTGCTGGCTCCTCCTCCTCTCATTCACGCCCTCACCTGTCGCTCCTGTTCCCTCCTCCTCCTCCGCTCTGGGAAATTTCCAACTACTCAGTGACTTGTGCTTACAGGGCCAGCAGGGACCCGGTCCAGGAATCCTCCTGCCTCCCTTACAAACCCTTCCCAGTCAGATACAAAGAAGAGAAAGCCTCAGTGTCTTTATATAGCCTGTTTCCTAAGTGATCACCCACCATCACAAATGAACGTTACGAAGTTAGCTTGCTCTGAATCAGATTATTGGATTGTCTCACTATTCTGCTTTGTGCTTTGTGGCTGTCAGAGCACCTGCTTGGCATGCAGAAGGTTCCCGGTTCAATCCTAGGCATCTCCAGGTGGGGCTGAGAGAAAACCCTCCCTGAAATCCCAGGGAACTGTGATCCTTACAGCAGCCCTGCAAGGGAGAGCAGCATTACTAGTTTTATGCTCCAGGCTGGAGGCTGAGGATGAGAGAATTTAAGCGAATGCTTCAGGGCACCTGTATATTTACAGCAAAACTAGGATTTGAACTCTGAGGCTAAAGGGCTTGTGAGGTTGACTGCTTTGGCTCTCAAAACAAGCCGGCTTTATTGTCTTCTGTATAAACCCAGCAATCCCAGCTTCAAATTTCCCTTTTCCCAAAAAACCCTTCCCTATTTAATACAGTGGTACCTCGGGTTAAGAACTTAATTCGTTCTGGAGGTCCGTTCTTAACCTGAAACTGTACTTAACCTGAAGCACCACTTTAGCTGCCGCGCCGCAGGAGTACGATTTCTGTTCTCATCCTGAAGCAAAGTTCTTAACCTGAGGTACTATTTCTGGGTTTGCGGAGTCTGTAACCTGAAGCATATGTAACCTGAAGCGTATGTAACCCAAGGTACCACTGTATACAATAATAATAATAATAAAGCAGGTTGAAAAAATAAATAAATGTCTAGCCTTGGAATAGTTTTTTCCTGAGTGAAAAAATAAAGTGGGCAAAATCACACACACAGGTGATCAGCCAGGCTGAAGGGGAAGAGTTCCATTGTTCAAAACTAAATATGTTTTAAAAGAAGAAGAGGGAAATAAAAGATGCCTGTGACACCTGTCTCCTCACTCCAGCAATCTCAAGGAATACTTTACCTTGTGAACTGTTCTGAGGTCTTTTGATGAAGGGTGGTGGCATATAAATATAATAAATAAATAAAAATATCCTGGCTGGGAAAATATGGTTGCATTTTCCCAGATACAAAAACATGATTGCTTGAGTTCTGGGACAATGTGATGCCACTAGAACAGAAGCTCCTCATCAGGGACAAGGAACAGACCTTCAGCAGCAACAGCAGACAAATGCCATATACAATGGTACCTCGGGTTAAGAACTTAATTTGTTCTGGAGGTCCGTTCTTAACCTGAAACTGTTCTTAACCTGAGGTACCACTTTAGCTAATGGGGCCTCCCACTGCCGCTGTGCCGCCGCCGCGCGATTTCTGTTCTCACCCTGAAGCAAAATTCTTAACCCGAGGTAATATTTCTGGGTTAGCGGAATCTGTAACCTGAAGCATCTGTAACCTGAGGTACCACCGTATTTAATTCAGCCAAGAACTGCACAGAAGTCTCTGCAGAACCCCGGAGTCTAGGAGCATCTCCCTCAGGTTTCAGACCAAATGCCATTCTTCCTCTGGAGCAGGGAAGAACCTATGGCCCTCCAGATTGTGGCTGAACCACAACTCCCATCAACCCCAGCAAGTGTGGCCAATAGCCATGAAGCATGGGAGTTGTAGTCACGGATGTGGTCCAAAGGAAAGTAGAGCAATACGTCTGGCTGCAGGAGTTGCCAGAAGGAGGCATATAAGGTGCCATCCGACCATCTTAGGGACTCTGCTCCGGATTTGTATAGTAGAGCTTACTCTAAAGCCCTTTCTTCTCCCAAAGATATCCTGCAAGGCAGCAGAGGTGTAGGATCAGAGTTTTCCTTCTCCTAGATGGGCTACTTTCCCAGGCTGGTGAGCTCAATCCGCCCCTTATTTCCCTCTACAGCATGCGCAGAAACTGCCTTCTTGACTGTTAGACCCACTATCGGTCTCGTCCGCCCGATCCACCGGAGCCGGTCTTTGAGTGCAGGGGAAATCCCTAACTTGAGACCCATTGCCTTCCCTCACCTGGTTTAGCCGGCCAGTCGAAACTGTTTCCAGGGTGTGGCCACTGTCGCATGCCGACAGCTTGGAGGAGCCACAGGTGAGAGAGCTGAGTGCAGGGTGGGGGCCAAAGGTGGACAAACCAGCCCAGAAGGAGCACAATGTGTCCCCCACCAGAGATATTACCCTTCCCCTAACACCCCATGCACCCTGCAGCTTAAATACCACCAACGAAGGACAGCCCACCAGCTCCCTAGCCAATCTCTTCCACTGCCCAACAGTGCTTAACCACTAGGAAGTTTCTCCTGGCGTTTAGCAAAAACCTGCTTCCCTGCCATTTCCACCAAAATTGGTTCTGCCTTCTGTAGCAGCAGAGCACCAGCCTGCCCGCTTCTTCCGCACGACAGCTCTTCAGGTATTTCAATATGGCGATAATGTTTCCCCTTAATCTCCAGTCTAAACATACCCAGCTCCTTGAAGCAATTCCTCATAGGAGCTGGCTTCCAGATCTGTCACCATCCAAATCGCTCTCTTCTCTCAGTATCAGTGTGATATGGAAACCAGAGGTGGACAACCACAGAACAGAGCAGAGCTATTACTTCTCGGCAAGGCACAAATCCTTTGGATTAAAAAAAATGTGTGCGTGTGCATGCGTGAAGGGTTGACCTGTGTTGAACACACCACTAGAGCAATTATGAGCTATTCAAAGTCAGCCACAGCAAATCCTTTTTAAGAGGCTATCTAATCTTGACCACATCCAACAGCAAACCTTGCTGATTCCCACCCTCTGCCAGGGCTCAGGAAATGGCTCTAGCTTTTCACTTATTATTTGTACACCGAAGATCACGAGGCAGTTCACAACTTTGAAGAACATAATACGAACAGAAAATACAAAATAAAAACAAACCAATAGCATCCTCCCTGCTCCCACAAACACATTGAAAAGGGCATAGAATGTTTTGGGTATTATAATTGTTCAGATGGTGAATTAATGAGTGAATAAAATAAATGCATAGCCCACTAGTTCTCACTTCCTTCCCAGAGAAACCAGCAATCACCGTTCTTTTCCTAACCCACGAACAGCGGAATCCTGTGCATGTTTACTTTAGAGTAAGCCTTACTGTGTTAAATTCCTAAGAAGTGTGCATCGGATTGCAGCCTAAGGCTAGGAAGTGCAAACAGGCTTAGCCTTGCGACGGCAATCATACCCTTGCTCCCCCTATGACAGGAGGTCCGGCTTATAGTGCATATGGAATAGAAGCACCTGCTCCAGCCCCCCCCCCCGACACAGCGCCCCCTAGAGGCAAAATGCACATTTCCATCAGGCCTTCCATTTTGCTCAAGGCACCAGAGCTTTAACAAGATGTAAGATGTATTAAAAAAGAAAAAAAAACCTCAGTAAAAACACACACTAGATAGATCGATAGTCATGGCTCCAGGCTTTCCACTTCACCTCCTCCAGGGAGAAGATGGGAATGAGAGAAATAATTTCCGTGAATGCATTGCCAAGATAGATACGTGCCACAGTGCGAGATGTTTACAAGCCCTTCCAATTTTTTATTCAGATCAATTTGACAGCAAGCAGGGATTTTAGTGGGATCTGCTCTCTTCTAGGGCAACAAATGCTGGTAAACTTACTTCCCCCTGTGGGTTTTCCAACCGGCTAGGGTGGGGGGAAAGGGGGCCCCTCTTCTGCAAGTGAGTCTTTTTTATGGCATGGAGATAAGCATTATCACCCGAGGATGGATATATCCTAAGCCTAAATATCTCTAACAAGCACTGACTCACTAAGTTGCCAGATACACAAGTTGTCCCTTGTGCTTCTGCTTCATTAGGGTTGCCAAGAAATTAGAACTATGTTTAAATAATACATTTTAATCATGGCTTTTACACCTGTATGTAAAAGCAATCCTGTATAGGGAAGTTTTTAAAAAATGTTTAATGTATTATTATGTTTTTATATATGTTGGAAGCTACCCAGAATGCTGGGGCAACCCATTAAGATGTGGGGGGGGGTATAAATAGTAAAATAGTAAAATTATCATTAAGGAATGGGGCGTCCCTATTTTTATCGGAGATATTTTGGAGGGTATGCGTATTCTTTTCTGATCAACTGGCGATCCTAGAACGCACACTCAGTGAAACACACTCAAATCTGGGAGTGGGCGTGTTTTCCTGCATACCAAATTGTTATAAATATATTTTAAAAAAACAAACAAAAAAATTCTCCCAGATTCATATTACCCCATACTGGAAGTCTTTGAGAAGAGGCCTGGAGAACCACCTGTCTGCTCATTATTTATTAATAAAAAATATTCATAAACTGCCCACTCATATGAAATATCAAGGCGGTGTACAACAATACAATAAACATAAGAAGCCATAAAATGATGCAGTATATTCTTTTCCCCTTTTTCTGAAGAAAAACGTAAGCAGCTGAATAAGTCTGTAGGGGGAGCTCAAGCTCCGGAATCTGCTGCATTGACTGACCAGACAAGGCCTGCTTCAGCAATTAGGTTTTTGGAATGCAGGAAGAGGGCTGGTTCCTTTCCCTATTCCCACCACTCACATTGCCTACTGAGAAGTCTCTGGCACAGACATATTTCGAAATGTGTGTGTAGGAGGTACGAACGGAGACCATCTTACTCATCTGCTGCAATACGGACAAGAGCACAACATACTTTACAGATGTTTAAACCTGGGCCTCTCGACAACATGCCTCCAGTTTTCAATGGTTCACCCCTACTCTTGTGTACTTCATTGGTCTCCACCCTCTTCTGGGGATTGCAATTTGTTTTAAACTCTTTTTTAATGCTGCATTTTAAATTGTTGTGACCTGCTCTGGGACCCGGGGCCTTAGGGTAAAAGACAGGCAAGCAAATGCCAGAGAGCATCATCTTAGTCAGAGGAGGGTCTGGCCGCAGTCTACGTGCACTTGCCATAAACAACTTCCAACAGTGCCGCCCTGCTTTCCTTCGCAATGAAAGGCAGTGGGGTGCAGTGGTCAGAACGTTAGACTAGCACCTAGGAGCGCAAGCACTCAAGTCGCCTCTCAGCCATGAAGCTGACTGGGTGATCTTGGCTCAGCCAGAGTCATCTCTCAGTCCAGCAATTGTGCAGGGGAGAGAACCTCACACGCCACCTTGAGTTCTTTTGGGGAAAGGTGGGGTATCAAGGAAGGTAACAGAAAATAATTCTATATGCTTTTCAGATCTGTAAAAGAACTGGTGGTGCTGGAGGAGACTCTTGAGAGTCCCATGGACTGCAAGAAGATCAAACGCATCCATTCTTAAGGAAATCAGCCCAAAGTGCTCACTGGAAGGACAGATCGTGAAGCTGAGGCTCCAGTACTTTGGCCACCTCATGAGAAGAGAAGACACCCTGGAAAAGACCCTGA